TATGGGGTTGGTCAAGAAAAAATGGATGTATGCGTAAAATAGTACCAAACCTCCAACCCCCACCCCCCCCCCCCCCCCCCAAAAAAAAAGAAAAGGGGAGGAAATAGTTATCAAGATCCGTCAATTGCTCAGAATGTTTATCGAAATCAAATTTTTGTTCGTAGTTTTTTACGTTCACTCAAAAGTAGGTCAATGTACTCCAGTAAGTTTAGATTGACTCTGTTTCTGTGTTGTAGAGACAGGCGGAGACGGGGATAAAAGAGACCGGAAGGGAGACAGTGGAGGAGCTGAACAGACAGGGGAGGGAGAAGAAGAGGGTGGAGGCAGACATCGAACAGGTAGGGAGGAGCGAGAGAGAGAGAGAGAGAGAGAGAGAGAGAGAGAGAGATACACCACACGATAGAAAACAAAGAGACGACCTCCAGCAGCATAATGAAAAAATTCAAAATTTTCAAAGAAAAGAATTATCGTCACGAGCGATAAAAGATCAACTTATGATTTGTTCAGTTATTTATTTTTTGAGCTCTGGTTGCGGACCTTCGTAAGATTTATATTCTGTCCTTATTCTGCTTCTCGAGGTTCAAGGCACTTAGTGACTGTTTTAACTGCCTTTTTATGTATCATACATAAAATATAATCATTATCTGGAATCGATAAAAAACATTTTACGGCAAAAATAGGAGTTTCCCTAATTCATTTGGAATCATGGTTTCAAAGTAATCATTGTTTTGTTCAATTGAGATTGAGAGATGGTTTGTGATTTAGGTGGGTGAGAAGATAGTGTGTGTGGTGGACCAGAATGACAGACTGAAGAGTTATCTGGAGAGGATGGGGAGGGAGAGGGGTCAGCTGACAGAGGACATCATCGACAGTGGACAGAAGATACGACAACTGCGCAACACTTGCATAGACAAACGGGGTAATGTTACTATACATACACTAATAAACGAACTATGCGTACACAGGTTGCAAGGTCTTTCATAGATCCTCTGCGAATGGCTGAAACGGCGACTATTATAATTATTCTTACAAGTAGCCAATTCGATGATCCGTGCTTGAGGGTGAGTAAACAACTTTAAGCCCAAAAAAAATAATCCAAAATTGCATATAGGTATTAACCATTGGGCATAACAGTAGTTCTCTGTAAAGAGCCAAAGAACCAGTGAGTGATGGATGATAAATTTAAAAACAAGATTTTTGGTGAAATTTTTGTCCAAGTTTACAGTGTTTGTTAAGATGGCCTTGTGAGTGGTTGGGATCAGTTGGCACTTCAGACTGAGGGGGCGAATAGGAAAGACGGGGTGGTGTTGGGGGAGATGGGCAAACAGGAGAGGGAGACGGTGGGGAGGAAGGAGCGGGTAGAGGTGGTGTCCACCCAACTGCAGACCCACATCACGAACATGACACTCTTCCTGACACAAGTGACCAATCTGAGAGGTATGATTCATCATGCAACATCATAACTTTATCAGCAAATAATTTTACCATACGAATAATCTTACTAAAAATAACTTAAATTAATTAAATAATAATGGTCATAAAAACTTGATAATAACTGCTTCCAAAATTAAAAGCATTTTTGCGGAAGTAGATAGAAGAATTGAAAATACTTCGGGATCCGTTGACTTTTCTCATTAACAACCCAATGATGTGACATAACAGGTAAAAACCGCGAAATATGCAATTTCATTTTCTTTGAACCCGAACTAGTACAGAATTTCTTTTCTCATATCAGGGCAAATTGTACGCAGTAAATAAAAAAAGATTGATTTTTTTTCATTTTCAACTTTACGCTTGAAATCAAACATCTCATGTATAGTACAAAAAGTATCTGTTCTGTCTGGTAACGTAATAGTAGGAGCAAACTGTTTGCTTCAATTCAACTTGTTTTGAGTTAATTTGCCGCTTACGTTTTTACAGGACGAAATGTGTAGGGCGTTAGTTTCAAAATTTGAATTATTGTTCCGGCTGTCGAAGAAAGTGACAAATTTATATGCCTGGAGTGTTTTTTTTTCAGACCGATTTCACATATAATGACACTGTATGGGTATCAATCCGGAAAGGTTTGAATTGGAAAGTGAGTATGCTTGGACTAGACTAAATTACGGATTGCAAAACAGCTCGAGTGATATTTTGGTAGTTTTAATCCGTAAAAGCGGGGCAAAAGGCTAGTTTTAATTAAGCGTGGCAAATTAACCGCTCTGAAAATTAATCCCAATTGAATTGAAGCCAACTATAGCTGGTTAATTGTTGCGATTTTGTAACTTTTTCGTAAAGTTATGGGGGTTTAAAGACTGCCATTTTGGGCAATTTGGGACAATTAACGCGCGATGTATTTTGCGCTATTAACGCGTAAGCGAGACTTAATCCGTATTAGAAATCGTTCCAAATTGATTAAAGGAAGCTTATATGTCATAATTGATTTTTAACAGCAGCAAAAATCTATCAATTTGTATTTAATATGGCGTGTGGGGGATGTTTTCAAAAAAAATTGATTAATTTTATTAAAATTAAATTTTTCATGTTCTTCTGCTCCATAGACGTTAAAAGGCAGTCGGAACATTCGGGGCTTCGTCCTGATACGAGCAGTCTTGTTTCATCTTAGAAATTGTTCTAGATTAATCGAAGGAAGCTTATTTGCCATAATTGATTTATTACTAGTAGCGGAATCTATCACTTTGCACTTTAAATGGCGTGTGGAGGGGATGACTTTCACAAAAAATCTCACATTGTAAAAAAAAATTAGTTTGTTTTATTACATTTAATTTTTTCATGTTATAACTGCTTCATAGACATTAAAAGGCAGTCGGAACATTCACGGCTTCGCCTTGATACGAGCAGTCTTGTTTCTTTTTAATTTGAAGCTTTGGATTTCGATATCATTCAGAAAAAAAATAAAAAATTTAAGCGAGAATAGTTAGTTCAAAAACTTCCCGATCACAGAAATTTCGAAAGTCGGAACAAAAATCCCGTATTAACGCCAAATTCTCAATTTTTTTACTGCCTTTTATTGTGTCTAAAATATTTTTGCTTCTCCCTATGCAATGGTAATTTCACTTGATTAAATTTAATTTGGAACGATTTCTGCGCAGAGCAAATTAGCCGCGCATGATATACGTGAAGTAAGGAAAATGACAAGGTTGCATTGATAAGGTATCCCAAGTCGACCAAATTGTTTTTTTTTTTCGAATTGCAAAAAAGTCCTCAATTTTTTTTTTTAATTAGAAAGTACAGCAGAAAACGCTTGCCACAAAAACGTTATCTAAACTCAGGTGAATGATTTTTTATCTAGAGAATTTGTTGCTATAAATAAACTCAGAGGATTGATTTCTCATCTAGAGAATTTGTTGCTAAAGTTTTAAATTAAACTAAAGCATAAGCGCTCAAATTGGCATTTTTCAACCCTACGGAACAATGTGTAGAAAAATTAATTCAAGGAAAAGTAAACTATTAGTTGCTATGTTTTGAGCGAAACTATATGGTTATTCGGTTATATAACTTGAGCAACAAAACTTGTGGCTTGTAATTGGTATTAAAGTTCATGGGAAATCTAGAACGAAAAAACTTAATCAAAAACCTGTATTATTACATCCGACTTCATATAAAGATTTTTTTCCCTCCCTCGCTGAATATCTTCAAAGACTTGTGTCAAAAAATATTGCTGTAAAACTTTTTTTTTAAGTTAGCAAACGCTAATGGACCGAAAAGATTTTAAGATTTATTCACAAATCAGAAAATGAGGAAATGAAAATAATCAATTATCGTAGGGTGAAAATTACATTTAACTATCTGTTTTTGTAATAACTAATACTTCACCGAGCAATTAGCTTTTCATGATATCTGCGCATGAATTGAAACAAATAAATAAATAGTGGAGCAAAACAAAATGCTTTGAAATTTTCCTGTCACACTTAAAACACTGCCTACTTAATAAGAATAACCGGAGTGCAGCCAGTATTTAGACAGCCGCGTATTCATACTGGTCAGTATTTAGACAAATACTGTATGAACCAATCAGAATCGAGAAAAAACATAAATAATCCAAAATAAATAATAATTATTTATTAATTTCTTCTTTGTCTCGATTCTGATTGGTTGAAACAGTATTTGTCTAAATACTGACCAGTATGAATACGCGGCTGTCTAAATACTGACATGTAACCAAGAAAACCAGAGTTCTTATTTGGTTGACCGGAGCCTTCAAAATTTCTCAATGCCGCTTTTGTCCCATCAAGGCGGCGGAGCGCCTCATAAAAAAAGGTAGCTTTCAATCAAAGGATACGTGAAAATAGTCTCAAGATATTTAAGATCTCCGATTTTCTTTATGAGAATTATGTATCAGAATCCTGTAGTCAATATTTTATAAGTTTTATAAGATTCGACTCGTTCGTCTACACATTGTATTGAGTATCTGTCCAAAAAGGTATAATTTAAAATGTATATAATTTTTTATTCATTATAAATAGCATGCTCGTATGTATCGTCGGTATTTCTTAGTCTACTGCTAATCTCCTAAGAATCCGAATAACAATCGCAGTTCCTATCATTGTAGCTCCGAAGGCATATATCGTGACTTGTTGTCATACTAGACGTGCGCTCGGTTCTGAATTCAATCATATAAAGCAAAATACCACAGCAAGTACTCTTGTATGCCATTCTCTCGTCCATTTTGGTTGTTCACGGTGGCCTGATTCGAATTGGCTTTTACAAGCTGCATTAAACAAGTAAAATTTCTTAGTTTATATTCTAGTATTGTTAACCAAAACTCTATAATTTATTCTCAACCTGAGGAAAAATTGGAAATATGTAAACGACCTTCAGTGGTAGAAAACGATGTTTGGACCAAGAAGGGGTCATAGAAAATAGGACAGTAGTCCTTAAAAGTTTTGAACAGTAAACTCGTTAGACCTCAAATCTTTAGATATCATAACCTAAAGAATCCCCTTTGTTGGAATACATTCACTTTTTAGAAAGGATCCCTCGAACAAACACCTAAGAGTATCGCTTCTCGGCCTTTTGGCTAAGATCATGTGTAGTATCTGTTCTTGTCAGCTTAATATCTGGCATGCTGGGCATTGCCTGGCACCAATATTAAACTGATTTTTGAATCACGGATTCGGCAAGGAAGCTTGCTTCAGCCGATCCACGGATTGTCCCGGTCTTACACTACCGCCGGGTACGGTCCATCCCAATATACGAACCGTCTTATCGCTAGTCTCAATCGTGGATGATGTTTATTACGTGGTAATCGATAGCCGTGTAATTTTTAAGCGTCAGAACCTGACTTCATGAATTTTTTCAAGCGGATACAAAAACTCCAATATTGCCAGATACAATTACCTATAACTCGTTGGAATTTTTAAAACTCTAATCTAGATTTTCTTTTATCTGTATCTATGTCGTCCCTTATACAAAAATGTGCGGGAGATTCGTTAGTAGAAATAAAATTCTCACATGTCTAAGCATTAAATCTATGCCTAACCGTAGGCTGACTATGGCAATTCGTTACAAGAAACAGTTTAAAAGTTGGGCAAAAATGCCAAAGTCTCCAAATTTAACTGCTGTAGTTTGGTTAGGCGAATTTTGTCGTAAAATTGCATGTTTCGGATTCCTTGACAGTAGCAAACAACACGACGCCGCCATTCTACGTATATGTTCGCGGGTTCTGCTCCATATTTAACGCTTTAAGGTACCCGGGTTGACGTCCATACAAGAAAAAAGCCTATCATATACTTTCATATATGGAAATCAATTTAAGATAATTTTCAAAAACAAAATTGATTGAAAAAATGCTTGCCATACAAATTTCTTCTTTGAAAAATTTATAGTAAGCCTTTTTCAATTTTTTTTTTCTCAAAAAAGTGTCTTGAATTAGTTTAAAGCTCAACGCTCTGTCAGGCGAAGCACTCTCAAGCCCAGTGAACGTAAAAGCGTTCTGAAACTCATTGAACTAACAAAATTCTTCCCGAAAAGTGTTCAAAATTATTTTTAACTGTTGCGGTGGTACAGTCATGGGACATAGAAGTTGTAAGTTTTTTTATTTCAACGATAAGCTGAACGAACTTTTTTTCACGTTTTTGTCATTTTCTCTGCAACTATTTAAGATATATGGTTAATAATTTGCCAAATTTTAGATAAAATAATTTGAAAGGACTTAACTGGGCCAAAATTTGAGAAATCTGGTTTCAAAGCCGTAAATAAGCCAGAATTTTATACCTAGTTTTATAGGTATCCTTACCGAGGGAACATCCTTGCAAACAATGTAAGGAATTTGAATTTGTAGTCTCAAACTAATTCTTTGGTAAGCTAATGACCTTGATTCATTCTATTTTTTGCCAAGAAACGACAGATAACATAATTGAAAAGTTACTAGGTTCGGCGTACAAAAACGGTCATAACTGTTTTGATGACTTAAACAGTAAGATTCCTTGGGAGCTTTTACCAGAAGGTTGAACAAAAAATACGGACAAAATAACTGCCAATGAGAATCCTGCACATAGATTGAAGCAGTAATTTTTTCTAAATATTTGCTGGAAACAGTTCGTTTCTTGACTTATTTCGATCATCAAGGCAAAATTATTTAAAAATTTGGGCCATTTTTTGACTCCGTGCCTAGTGACTTGTTCAATTCTAATATCTGTCGTTTTACTGCAAAAAAGAGTAAATAAAGGTCATCAACTTGCAAAAGAATTAATTTGAGCCTATAAATTCAAAATTTTGATCACATTGTTTGCTAGGATGCTCCTACAGCAAGAACACCTATAAAGCTAGTTGTAATATGCTGGCTAACGGCTTCGAAACCAAACTTCTCAAACTTTGGCTCAGTCAAGTCCTTCCAAATAGTTCGATCTTAATTTTTGCAGATTATGATCCATATATCTCAAATAGTTGCAGAGAAAATACAAAAACGTGAAAAAAAATTTCGTTTATTTGCTCAGGTAATAAAAAAATTGCACTTTCTCTCTCCCGTGAAATTAGAAACTGAACATTTTGCTACTCGAAAATAGTTTCGATCAAAAACGAAGATTTGGAGATTTGTTTCGAATCCAAACGAAGATACGAGCAGTCTTCTTTACTTTTACTATCGAGCATTCCTAAGTGCTAGAGTTTCGTAAAGATCATCTCATCACGCCACAACAAAAAACCGACACAATTTGAAACAAGTGAATCTTTTTCTCATTTAATTTTTATTCAGGTCGGAATTTTCTGTGCTACTCGCTTGCACAGTAATCGTCTAACCTTGTTGTTCCAACTTTTGAATAAAGTGTGGAATATTCATGCTCAGGGTGTTTTTTGATCAGTCAATTTAACTAAGAATTTTCACGGATTTTTTTTCGAATCAGCTGAAAATTTTTTTGCTGAAACCAATTTTAAAAAGACCATTCACCTGTGTCATTTTTCTGTAAGTTATGGGTGTTTGAAAATTGCCAATTTGGGATAATTATCGCGCGACATTTTGCTATCTTACAACACGCGTAAGCGCTGAATTAATGCGTTCCAAACTGAATTGAGGCAAGTCATTTGGTTGTATTAGTACGTTACCAGACGCGAAAAACATCCCTTTGTCGTTTACATTAGGGTAGGGGTGATAAATTGAAGCAAAAAAAAAAAGAAAAAAAATGTTTTTTTTTGTCCCGATTCTTTCGTCAACTTTCAACCAAAAAAATTTTTTCATTGGCCTTAAAGAGCAGTCGTTGTTTTCATTAAAATGAATTGGACACTGACCTTCGTTTATTACAGCACATTTGTTATTTTGTAGAGCAGCATAGACAAATACACTCGAGCGAGGGATGAGAAGAGAGCGAAGGTGGAGGAGGAGACACCCCTGTTCATTAAACTGCAACAGGACCATAGAGACTACACGCAGAAACACGAGCAGAACAAGAAACAACTTACTGGTAACTCTTCATTAAAATCGTGTCAGAGGAAATCTTTTATTCGCTAGCTACATGCGCATCCGAAAACTTTTATGTTAACCAATCAGAGTTCAGCATTCAGAAATTTGAAACAAATAAGCTTGAAAATCAATCTGAAGTCTTGGGCATAGCTTAAAGTGGTTAAATTTTTATCGGTTGCATGGTTTTTCGGTTATGCGAAATACCCTCACTATATCACGTAGGTGATGATCAAAAATTTGAAGACCGCACCAAGATTATCTGCGTTTCTTTAACTATTTTCCTATGTTATCAAAAAGGGACCCACCCCTATAAAGAACTAATTTGATGATTTGGCATGTATGGATTTTGACCCTACACGCGAAATCTTCCCTATGATTCTGGAACAAAATACATAACTCTTTAAAAATGGAAGTGAAAAATTAAATATCGATTTCAGTACTGAAGGCGCAGAATGCCAAACTGGGCAATGAAGTGTCGGTGGCGAAAGTACAGCTGCAACAACTCGATACTCCCAAGGTGAGCTAACTGTTATCCTATGCCTCTATATAAATATAATATACAGTTTTTAGCAAGTAATGATCAAATTCCTCTCAATTTTTTTGAGTAAAGCGTTGTCGTTTCTTCAAAAAAAAATTATTGCTCATTTCAAAATGTGAAAAATGTTATAAATCAAACGTCTAAAAAGGAAAAAAATTGAGTAAAAAAGGAATTGAGTATAGGTTGGCGTCAAAAACTGCATCGAAAAATTATGGAGTTGGTCAAGAAAAAATGGATGTATGCGTAAAATAGTACCAAACCTCCAACCCCCCCCAACCCAAAAAAAGGGGAGGAAATAGTGACCAAGATCCGTCAATTGCTCAGCATGTTTATCGAAATTAAGTTTTCCTTCGTGTTTTTTAACGTCAATGCACTCCAGTGACCTGAGATTGAGTTGTTATTCTGTTTCTGTGTTGTAGAGACAGGCGGAGACGGGGATCAAAGAAACCGGAAGGGAGACAGTGGAAGAGCTGAACAGACAGGGGAGGGAGAAGAAGAGGGTGGAGGCAGACATCGAACAGGTAGGGAGGAGATATTTAGGGGGGGAGGCGGTTTAGACGGGGGGGGGAGGCGGACGCTCCTTCCTCAGGGATTCGACCTCCTGCCGACCCAAAGGGTCCCCCATTTGTACTATTTTGAGATGTCTATTTTTAGTGACGGACCCTAAAAACGTTCGAAAGGCGCCTTTGGCGCTGTGGTACTGTGTAGTACTGCTGCCACAGTAACCTTGGAAAGTTAGATTATATATACTAATTTTGAGGGGAAGCGCACCCTGAAAAAGCGCAATTTTTTGGTCAAAATTTTCCAAAAAGTGCCTAAAAATGCCTTTTTTGCCTGTTTTTTCAAAATTTTGCCTGCGGCGCAGAAAATTTTACCAAAACAGGGTCTTTTCAATGATCTCGGATAGCTTGGAAAATCTATTTGTCGGCCTACAAAAAAGGTCAAAATTTTTGATTTTTTTTGAAAATCCGCCCTTCCCTCGAGAAAACCCTAGATCCGCCCCTGCATAAAATATAATCATTATCTGGAATCAATTAAACCATTTTACGACAAAAAAAGGAGTTCCCCTTAATTATTTGGAATCATTGTTTCAAAGTAATCATTGTTGTGTTCAATTGAGATTGAGTGGTGATTTGTGACTTAGGTGGGTGAGAAGATAGTGTGTGTGGTGGACCAGAATGACAGACTGAAGAGTTATCTGGAGAGGATGGGGAGGGAGAGGGGTCAGCTGACAGAGGACATCATCGACAGTGGACAGAAGATACGACAACTGCGCAACACTTGCATAGACAAACGAGGTAATGTTACCATCCATACTCTAATAAACAATCTATGCTTCGACAGGTTGCAAGGTTTTTCACAATGCAAATGGCTGAAACGGCGACTATTATAATTATTCTTACAAGTAGCTAATTCGATGATCCGTGCTTGAGGGTGAGTAAACAACTTTTAGCCCAAAAAATAATCAAAAATTGCATATAGGTATTAACCATTGGGCATAACAGTAGTTCTCTGTAAAGAGCCAAAGAACCAGTGAGTGATGGATGATAAATTTTAAAACAAGATTTTTGGTGAAATTTGTGTCCAAGTTTACAGTGTTTGTTAAGATGGCCTTGTGAGTGGTTGGGATCAGTTGGCACTTCAGACTGAGGGGGCGAATAGGAAAGACGGGGTGGTGTTGGGGGAGATGGGCAAACAGGAGAGGGAGACGGTGGAGAGGAAGGAGCGGGTAGAGGTGGTGTCCACCCAACTGCAGACCCACATCACGAACATGACACTCTTCCTGACACAAGTGACCAATCTGAGAGGTATGATTCATCATGCAACATCATAACTTTATCAGCAAATAATTTTACCATACGAATAATCTTACTAAAAATAACTTAAATTAATTAAATAATAATGGTCATAAAAACTTGATAATAACTGCTTCCAAAATTAAAAGCATTTTTGCGGAAGTAGATAGAAGAATTGAAAATACTTCGGGATCCGTTGACTTTTCTCATTAACAACCCAATGATGTGACATAACAGGTAAAAACCGCGAAATATGCAATTTCATTTTCTTTGAACCCGAACTAGTACAGAATTTCTTTTCTCATATCAGGGCAAATTGTACGCAGTAAATAAAAAAAGATTGATTTTTTTTCATTTTCAACTTTAAGCTTGAAATCAAACATCTCATGTATAGTACAAAAAGTATCTGTTCTGTCTGGTAACGTAATAGTAGGAGCAAACTGTTTGCTTCAATTCAACTTGTTTTGAGTTAATTTGCCGCTTACGTTTTTACAGGACGAAATGTGTAGGGCGTTAGTTTCAAAATTTGAATTATTGTTCCGGCTTTCGAAGAAAGTGACAAATTTATATGCCTGGAGTGTTTTTTTTCAGACCGATTTCACATATAATGACACTGTATGGGTATCAATCCGGAAAGGTTTGAATTGGAAAGTGAGTATGCTTGGACTAGACTAAATTACGGATTGCAAAACAGCTCGAGTGATATTTTGGTAGTTTTAATCCGTAAAAGCGGGGCAAAAGGTTAGTTTTAATTAAGCGTGGCAAATTAACCGCTCTGAAAATTAATCCCAATTGAATTGAAGCCAACTATAGCTGGTTAATTGTTGCGATTTTGTAACTTTTTCGTAAAGTTATGGGGGTTTAAAGACTGCCATTTTGGGCAATTTGGGACAATTAACGCGCGATGTATTTTGCGCTATTAACGCGTAAGCGAGACTTAATCCGTATTAGAAATCGTTCCAAATTGATTAAAGGAAGCTTATATGTCATAATTGATTTTTAACAGCAGCAAAAATCTATCAATTTGTATTTAATATGGCGTGTGGGGGATGTTTTCAAAAAAAATTGATTAATTTTATGAAAATTAAATTTTTCATGTTCTTCTGCTCCATAGACGTTAAAAGGCAGTCGGAACATTCGGGGCTTCGTCCTGATACGAGCAGTCTTGTTTCATCTTAGAAATTGTTCTAGATTAATCGAAGGAAGCTTATTTGCCATAATTGATTTATTACTAGTAGCGGAATCTATCACTTTGCACTTTAAATGGCGTGTGGAGGGGATGACTTTCACAAAAAATCTCACATTATAAAAAAAAATTAGTTTGTTTTATTACATTTAATTTTTTCATGTTATAACTGCTTCATAGACATTAAAAGGCAGTCGGAACATTCAGGGCTTCGCCTTGATACGAGCAGTCTTGTTTCTTTTTAATTTGAAGCTTTGGATTTCGATATCATTCAGAAAAAAAAAAATTTAAGCGAGAATAGTTAGTTCAAAAACTTCCCGATCACAGAAATTTCGAAAGTCGGAACAAAAATCCCGTATTAACGCCAAATTCTCAATTTTTTTACTGCCTTTTATTGTGTCTAAAATATTTTTGCTTCTCCCTATGCAATGGTAATTTCACTTGATTAAATTTAATTTGGAACGATTTCTGCGCAGAGCAAATTAGCCGCGCATGATATACGTGAAGTAAGGAAAATGACAAGGTTGCATTGATAAGGTATCCCAAGTCGACCAAATTGTTTTTTTTTTCGAATTGCAAAAAAGTCCTCAATTTTTTTTTTAATTAGAAAGTACAGCAGAAAACGCTTGCCACAAAAACGTTATCTAAACTCAGGTGAATGATTTTTTATCTAGAGAATTTGTTGCTATAAATAAACTCAGAGGATTGATTTCTCATCTAGAGAATTTGTTGCTAAAGTTTTAAATTAAACTAAAGCATAAGCGCTCAAATTGGCATTTTTCAACCCTACGGAACAATGTGTAGAAAAATTAATTCAAGGAAAAGTAAACTATTAGCTGCTATGTTTTGAGCGAAACTATATGGTTATTCGGTTATATAACTTGAGCAACAAAACTTGTGGCTTGTAATTGGTATTAAAGTTCATGGGAAATCTAGAACGAAAAAACTTAATCAAAAACCTGTATTATTACATCCGACTTCATATAAAGATTTTTTTCCCTCCCTCGCTGAATATCTTCAAAGACTTGTGTCAAAAAATATTGCTGTAAAACTTTTTTTTAAGTTAGCAAACGCTAATGGACCGAAAAGATTTTAAGATTTATTCAAAAATCAGAAAATGAGGAAATGAAAATAATCAATTGTCGTAGGGTGAAAATTACATTTAACCATCTGTTTTTGTAATAACTAATACTTCACCGAGCAATTAGCTTTTCATGATATCTGCGCATGAATTGAAACAAATAAATAAATAGTGGAGCAAAACAAAATGCTTTGAAATTTTCCTGTCACACTTAAAACACTGCCTACTTAATAAGAATTTTTTTCCGTTTGGTACCAATGAACAACATAAATTTTATTATTTAAACAGTAGTAAAATTTTTTCAATGAATCTTTACAAATTTCCTGCCTAATTTTTGAGTTTCTTATCTGACTTATATTTAAAGTATCAATGCTTCAGGTGCTGTTGAATCTGAACAGAAAAAGAATGAGGGAAAAAGTGAAGACCATCTCCAACAACAATCAGGCGATGATGAGGTCAACACAACGACTGATCAAGACCACGATGAGTCATCATTAAACGACCAGGCAAAGGCAGAAAAAGAGAAAACGGAAGAAGAAGAAGGAGACAAAAAAGAAGAAGAAGAAGAGAAAAAGGAAGAAGATGAAGAAGAGAAAAAAGAAGAGGAAGAAGACGAGAAAAAGGAAGAGGAAGAAGAAGACAAAAAAGAACAGGAAGAAGACGAGAAAAAAGAGGAGACGGAAATTGAAATTGAAGGCGAGAGAGAAATGTCAACAAATGAAAGTTTATTACGCGAAACAGATCCTAACAACACTGATGAAAACCTAGATGGAATAACTTTTACAGCTGAAGATATGGTCAATTTAGATGAAACAGAACAAAAAACTGATCAAATTTTGATAGCAGATTGAAGGTCGATAATTATATCAACTTTTTTGCTATGATTTGAAGATATGCTAGAAAAAGTAAGAGCCCTAATATTTAGAGGTTTCTTAAATCAGTTATGGATAAAGATAATGGCGCGATATTTACAGTGGCTTATAACTTTGTGCTCCTCTTAGAAAGAGTCATTTATCATTATTTTACGACACCAATTTTTAATCTACTAGCCCTAAAATTTTTTTCAAGGTGTTTTCAGTACAGATTCGTACTTATCATGTAACAAAAAACTGGAAACAATCAAAAAAATCAATTTTGGCAAACTAGAAAAATCTTTACCAATTGAAATTTTTCGCATTTGATTTGAAACCTGCAAAAATTCAATAGAAGTGAAGTATTTCAACAAAGTTCTCAAAAAATTGTTACACCCGCTTTCCCCAAAACTCTGATCATCATAATGGCAGTACATCTTTGCACACACACGCATATATATGTTTGTTCACACACACGCATATATATGTTTATTACACACACACGCATATATATGTTTATTCAGTGCAAATTTTCCATCACTTATTCAAAAATTTGAAAAACAAAAATCTCAGAGTCGAAATATTGATCTTAAAACTATCCTGAAAAACGAATTTATTTCAGTTCTTTCTAATGAATTGAATGTTTTGAACTGTAACTAAGAATAGACGAGTTCAATTTTTGGAAGTATTTAGTTACGTCTTCTGCAGGTATCTTGCTGATGATTTTGATCTGCGTTTTTGTCTCAGAATTGAAGCATAATTTTTCGAAATTTTGAGGAAAGTGACAGAATATTTTCTTTCTCCAGGCAATTTTCAAACGTTCTCAATTTTGTGGAACGGAAAATTTAGAATAAGAGTTAGTCTCTGAGGTTTCTCACTGTTACGTTTACACTTCCACATAGAGTTTTAAATTAGTTTGTTCGGTTTGAAAAGGGAGTAGAACTAAAAAAAATGGATTATCTGAACTGGTTTTATTCATATAAAGCTAATATCCACAAGCCTGCTCGTATCGGAGCGAGACCCAAATGTTTTTTATAAGTCATCCACGCCAAATAAAATACAGATAATCGATTTCCCTCTAGTAACGCAGAAATTATGACAATTAGCTTGCTTCAGCCAATTTGGAGTGATTTCTCATGCGGTTTGAATCTTCCTTATGGAAGAAGGTACACGTAACAGTCAGACACCCCAGTGACTAACTCTCATTCCAAGGTTTCCCTAGAAAAATTGACTGTCGAAAAAAAGGAGCTCGAGCAGAAAAATTCTGTCCGAATTTGCAAAAAGATGAATCAAATCTGCTACAAAAACTCAGACCAAGATAACTGCGGAATACGTAAAAGAGTTTTTTAAAACAATTGATTTGTCAATTCCCAGTTACAAACAAAAACACTCTATTCTAAACACGGAATTGCTTCATATTTATTTAGAATTTCTTGTATATTCCAAGAAAAATTAAACTGCAAGCAACCAGTAAAACAAAAACGGATTTTTGCAAGCTTTCCTAATTTAGCAAGCAAAAAAAAACAAAGAAATACGAGACGTGTGACAAATCGCACAAATTCCTCAAAACCACCGGCATGAAAACTGACGAATTCGTAAAATACTTCAAAGCAAAAAACTCGTCTATTCTCTTGTCAATTTCCAGCCATATTGATAAATTTTCAACCCCCAAAACTTTACGAAAAATGATAACAAGTAAAAAAAAGTTTCAGCTTGATTTGGAAATAAATAAATTATTTTGGATAATATAAAAAATAGCGACAAAAATAGCTGGCTACAATTTCAAGTTTTGTCTAGGGAGAAAAACAGCCCGAGTGTAACCCGTGTGCGTCACTTATTCAAAAGGATAAAAACTTCATAGAGTGGAAATAGCAAGCTTGAAACCATTTAATTTCAGTTTTTTCTAATTGGGTTTTTCAATACTGTTATCTCATACATGATTATAATGTCATCAAGCATGAACTTTTTTTCTAGAACTAGTCGTTTTGAGAAACTAAGCAAAAACTTTAAGAAAAATCTGCGAAAAAAAATTGTTTTGAGAACAATCTGCAATTTTTCACATGTCTTGTAGTTCTTTGTTATTTTATTGTTTTCTAGCTGACTCAGCGAAACTCTCCAATGTTAATTGTTTTCGCCTGTTGATAGCAGTTTTGATTTTTTCGGAACGGGAAGGAAATTCTAGGTGAATTTGAAGCAATTTTATGTTTAACACGGAGTGTTATGAGCGGTAATTGGTATGAACAGTCTATTGCTTTGAACTTCTTTGTTAGGTATTCCGCAGTTATCTTGCCATTGATTTTGATCTGTGTTTTTGAATCAGATTTAAACCATGATTTTTCCAACTTTCGAAGAAAGTGGCAGAATGTTTGTGCTTGAGGTTTTTTTTTTCTACAGGCAATTTTCAAACTTTCTCAATTTTCTGGAACGAAAAGTTTGGAATGAGAGATAGTCCTCTGTTGTATAATTTTTACGTCTACATTTTTCCATAGTTTATTACATTTGTTTGTTTTGATTTGCGTCTAGTTGAATTGAAAAACCAAAAAAACGGACATTCAGAACTGGTTGCATTGACTTAATGCTGATATCTACAGGAGTGCTCGTATCAGGGCATTGGCGCGAGTGTTCCGACTGCCATTTAGATTCTATGGCGCAGTGTTTTCGTTAAAAATTTTATTAAAACGTTTTTGCCACCTTATTAAAAGTCATCCCCAATACGCCAAATGAAGTACAAATAATAAAATTCACTCTTTTAAAGTAGCAATTATGACATATAGCCTGCATCAAAGAATTGGAACGATTTTCTCATGCCCATAAATCCCCGCTCACGCGCATTTATATATCGCGGTTTGATTATCCCAATATAGCCATATTGTCAACTTTTAAACGAGTTTTGGTAAAACAAAACACTTTGAGTTCGAAAATAATAAAGGTATTTTGTCAAAATTGGCTAGCTAAAAAATCAAATTTTTGTCTGAAAAAAAAATTCAAAATTTCCGCCACTTACAAAAAACACTTCATAGAAAGGAAATATGGATCTTAAAACTTTTCCTAAAAAATAATTGAATTTCAATTTTTTCTAATTGTGTTTTTGAATACTGTTATCTCATTACATGATATACATGTCATAATTCATGCAAGCTTTTGTTTAGAATCAACAAGTCCTTTTGAGAAAAATCTGCAATTCATCACATGTCATGTAGTTTTTTTGATAATTTTTGTCCTTAGCTGACTCAGCGAATTTTTACAATATTTGTTTTTTTTGCCTGCTGCTTGCAGTTTTGATTTTTCTTAGAGTACACAAGAAGTTTTACAGTTTATACAGTAAATATTCGGCAACTTCTTTTTTTTTTTTCAACCAGTCCCGGAGACCTAACCACGAGGTTAATTACTTAGGTTGACATGAACGCATATATTCAGCGCCTCATTAGCTATTACTTTTGAGCTATGGCTTACTTGCAAGAGCTCACCTAATAAATTGCAGCGCTCGTGTGATTTGAAACCAGCAATCATTTGATTGCTGGGCACCATCACTATCGGAGTACCCGAAAGCCACATCTCGTGTTCAGAATTGAATGTTTTCAGTTTTAACTGGATATGGGACCAGTCTGTTGCTTGAAACACTTTGTTACGTATTGCGCAGATATCTTGCTGATGATTTTGATCTGCGTTTTTGTCCCAGATTTGAAAC